TCGAATCCCTCCTCAAGGATCCTTCGTGCCTGTGGCTTCACACGCCCGCGGGAAAGGCTCAGGAGTTTTTCAGCGAGCTCGGTCCGTGCCCACTGAGAGCACAAGGCGTAGCTTTCTCCATGGCGACGAGCGATTCGGAGGAGAAACAGCTTCTGCAGTCCAGAGAGGCAAGAAAGACCTCGGGCACTCGGACGCTGGTGTAGATACGGAGAGCTTTTTTCAGGTCACTAGATGCTTCCCCAAAGGTTGATGCCTGGAAAGGTTTGTGGCTCATGGTGGCAAAATATGTTGAGATATGGAGAGGCCGATGGAGAGCGAGAGGGAGAGAGAGATAACATATATATATATATACACACTATACTTTACATATGATACATATTATTCATAGACTAGTTATATATTACTTTTTCAGCCTGGCACCCCGCAGGCGACAGTCTCAGCGGCAGAAGATTCATGCAATTGGGCAGTGATTCTGGGAACGCTTCTGGCAATAGGTGCGCTGGTGAGTTTGTTTGTGGTGATCTTCAGTGCATTTGTGACCCTTTGGTTGTGGCCAATCTTGGGGGTTCTTCTCCTCGTTGGTCATGGCCTACTTCTTTTTGCCGTTGCTGACTCACAAACAAGACTCGCAACGCCGGCAAAGCTCTCTGCCGCAGCGCTCTTCCTTGAAGTCTTGTGCTATGTCTTCTTGGTGCCGACCTACCTCTTTCGTTCCTTCATTGTACCCTGGTGGTGGTGGAATGCTTCAGTGATCCTGTTCGTTCTGCCATCATTGATCTTGCTATGGGTGACCATTTGCCAGTCCCTGTGTGGCACAACCGTGGAGAAGTGCTCGGCAGGGGGTCTCATGGTGATCTCCCTGGTCATCCTTCTAGTTGGAGTGCTGCTTCTTGTTGCAGGGAACTTCTCTCCCACCTGGCTCTTGATGACACTGCCGTCATCGCGATTGGTGGAAGAGATCCAAACAATTCGTAATTATGTGCAAATGTCCAGTGCTAAATTGGATGTGACGGTGGGATATGAGATTTGTGACATGGCCACCTCCGAGTGTAGCATGAAGAAGTTCGTCGGTTGGACTGTGGTGAAACCAGGTGCACCGTCAAAAACAAGTTGGAGATATACCAATGCAGTGTTGGGGAGGTTTGCTAGTGCCGCAGGTTGGAGTAGTTTTCAAGCACACGAGTAGCGCTCTTTTTCTGGTCGGTGAAAGGCATCCCAAAAAAGAAACCAGACTGTCAGGTGGAGCTACTGCTTGCCTAGATGGAGACTTTGAATTCGTAGTCTATCCTGGTGATCCTGGCAGACTCCTTTTCCATTTGCATGGTGGAGGCGCTTGCTGGAACTGGATGACCTTCCTCCTGGGCAAGTGCACCAAGAAGTCCCCCATGAAGCCGACGGGCATCTTCAACGTGACCAACCCAAATAACCCCTTCTACAACTGGACCTTGGTTGATGTGCCGTACTGCTCAGGGGACGTGTTTAGCGGTGCGACGGAGAACTTCTGGATCATGCCACAGCAAACGGCCAGTGCTTGGAAGTCTCAGGCAGGATACGCCAACGTGAACTCGGTTCTGGACTGGGTCAAGGTCCAGTTTGCTGGAGCTGTGCCAGCCTTGAGGACAACTTGTAGCCGGAGTGGGGCGCAGTTTCATTCATAGTGTAGAACCTACCATGGTGCACAGGCCCTTTTTCATGTTCCACATTGTGCGCACCACCGTGGAAGAACAGCAACATGAGATAGCGCCTCGATGCAGCCTTTCAGCCTCGATGCCCCAGAAAAGCAGTAAGAACTCACGTGTCTTTGGCCATACCACTTTCATACTTAATTGTATATACTAGTAGTATATATATATATTGTGTGTTTGTTCCTACTGTAATACCTATTTGTTTGCCCCCTCAAATGCGCTCTATTTACCCTAATGACTGCAATCGTTTGCAGACTTGGCCCTGGTATCTTTGCAAAATCTGTGTTCCTCAGATTGTTGGTCACTTAAACTTTGTTCGGCTGTTCTTCTGGGCACAGGTCGAGGCGAGAATTCATGTCCTGCACAGCATGTCTTTCCCATCGAACCCACACTCCTGCAGGACTCTGTCCTAGTTCGTGGTGGCAGGTGAGTCCGCCGGCAGTTTGGGGGTTCAGCTTTGGGCCACTAACCTTCTACGTCGGCTGGAGAGCCACTATGAGCCTGAGAACACCATCCTGATCGGCGATTCTTTTGTGGGGGCCATCCCAGGAGACACGGATCTATTTCAACGTCAGGTGATGGAATTTTGGGGCGTTTGCCAGTCTGGTGTGGTTCCTGAGGAACTCAAGCCAGAGTGTACACCAGACCGCCTGGTCATGACAGACTTCCCAGAGACCACCATGCAGCTGTTCCCCTCAGTCCGCTACATGATGATCGGCAGCAAATTCGATCAGGTTCAAATGGCATTCGGTGATTTTGTGATTGTTTTTGACTACCTATGGACTCTGCTTTGGAAAGGCATTGATAGCATACCGCTTTTTTCCAATGCAACTTTCTACGAGCAACTCAGCGGGGACTTACTGGTATACTCGGCCTACAAGCAGTTCTCCGCATACCTCGTGGGTGCCAAACAGCATACCTACACAATCTGGCCTCTCTACTTCATTCGGAGCACTACTCCCGCTGGGCCATTTGATGATTGTAGCAGCCCATATGTGGGGGAGCGGTTGCTCGAATGGCTCAGCCCGCATAGTGAGGAGAAGGCCTCATACCAATGCTACAACACAGAAGAGGACGCCCCAAATTGGACTGCGCATTACTGCGACCACATGTTGCCATGGCAAGTTGGAAGATGCGAACCCAGCAACTAGTGAGCGCGGAGGTCAGAAGTTGTGGAAGGTATGTCGGCAGTTCCTTCCAATAGTTTGAACTTTTGGGCCGCTCCACTCTTCAGTGTCGAGTGCAAATCTTCGGAAATTCATCCATTCCCCAGCAATTATATATGCCGCAATTGAGTGATATTGGATGCAATTCCTGGACAACAGGTCCAGATGAACCTGTGATATATGATACTGTAAAGTATTGTACAGTAATACGTCGCAGCCACTGGTAGTGCCGTTCCTATTAGTATATAAGTGGCTTTGGCGTTGGCAAGTGCCCTCAGGGGTGCCTGAGTTTTGGAAATAAGGAAGACCTAGAAACGAGGCCTTTAAAAGAAGACCCCGGACTGCTCAAGCGATCAAAAAGCCGCTTGAGCAAACACTCACTGTTTGCGGAGACTTCCCGACTGTTCCAAGAAGGAATCTACACTGTGGTGCTTTGCGTGGCAGATTGAGGAGAGAATTGCCTTGAATTGCCTAGGTTTAAACCATCTTAACCGATGATTTGGATGACCAGGCTGTTGCAGCTATTGGCTGGTGGCAGCTGGAACAAGCAAGACATTCAACGGTGGCAGATTTGTCAGAGATGCATGCCGCACGGAATTGAGACCTGGAATGTATAGCCGTAGCTCTTCAAGCCATTTAAAGCCCCCCCAAGCATTTGGTGCATACAAATCAAGTCGCAGCAGGCACTGTCCAGAGAAACCTTCAAACCCTCGCAGGTCTTCTCTGATTTGGTGTTCATGAGCTGGAATTGCTCAAGTTCCGAGCCAGCGCAGCCGCAGCCTGATGCAGCACGTTGGTACAGGAATGTTCCGGATCGAGGCCGGAGGAATTCGTGCAGCTACTGTAGCTAGATGGAAGCACTGCAAGATACACTGGGAGCAATTTATGGATTGCAGATAAGATCAGCAATCAATCGGGCCCAAAAAATCGTTGGTACCAGGGATTTGTGGAGCATCGGGTTGGTTAGAGACACGTTTAGACCAGGGCATGCCCAAACAACGGGCTGGGATTGGCGCTGCGATTGAACTATTGCAGCCTGAGCGCAATTCGAGTTGAGAGAATCACCAGCATCCACCAGGGCTACAAGACGAACAATGTGGAGTTTTCGGAGTTGTTTGAAGCATTTTGAAGCAATTGCAGTATATTGGTACTCTCCTTCCAACTACTTTGCACTCACCTGCAAGAAAGAACCAATCGATACTCTTTCTTGCAGGTTGCTACGCTAGTTGTTGGTATGGAGGGAGCATTGCCGTGATATTGGTACGGCTCCCGAGTCTCAAACATTGGCCATAATGAAGCCCCGGTTCATCGCATAATGGCAAGGCTGGAGAAGATGCGTGAGCGGGAGAGGACGGACTCAGGTGGTGGCAGGTAGATCAGCCCTTTAAGCCTCCAACTTCCAAAGGTATCTTCAAGATGTTTTCACTTCAGATGTTGCCATGGCTGGACAGGGTCCTCCAATGCCGATGGACAAACGCACCATCCGTGTCGCGGTTTAGCATGTTCCATCTAATATATCATTTAAACTATTTGTTGGTGTGGCACTTTGCGGCTGTTGCGGTGTAGTGCAACAAGCACGTGCTGAGAAGTCTCATGCACTTAAACGGCTAACTGTACTATCAGCGGCGCAGTTGAGGACTTCCATCCCTCGTTCCATCAGGTCATAGGAATGCACATGTGATGTGCACATGTGATGCGTTTCTAACG